CTTGGACACCCTATTGTACAGTCATATAACATCCAAAAAACATATGACATAAATTTCGCAATTTTTCGCGATTGCTATACTTCTCCACCAGTTGGCATGGGGAGTAAAATATATGCCTTAACGGCGCTCTCACAGTCAAGCAGAGTTTCTGAGGGGAATCGGGGGGGTGATAGGGAAAGGCTAGTAGGACGGCGTTGTGACAAGGCAAGCGCTCTACGTTAGAAAAGGATAGTAATACGCAGAGGTGTGCTGTTCGCGTGCCTGGTTGAATTTGCATATTGCACAGAGTCGGATTTGATTTGGATATACGATCTAGCGTACGACTGTTTCCCTATTTTGGCGCATAGTATACTCAGCCCTTATTACTCTTATTACCGTTATTGTATTGTTGTATTATCGTGTTGTTATTGTTGTGTTGTTATTGTTGTGCTGTTATTGTTGAGTTGAGAAAAGTAGGTACCAAAACAATTATGAATTTTAGCATTCATTTTGCCAATAAATTAGACTATACGTAGTTACTATTATAACTATATTTTATATGTTATTTTAGCTTAAAAATGACAGCAAGGTTTCGCATATGCATTCTCTAACAGAGACAGATGGCATGGATCTTCAAATTCAGGTGTGTATACCCTTTTTTTTTAGATTTGCACCAGAGGCTGATATCATTTCTGGCAATTCTGATTAAAAATGCAGTAAGTTTACTTCATGACGTCGATAATAGTATTGTAGAGCAGTTTAACTGAATCATAGCTAAATTCATTGGGGGTAAACGGATTAATTATTGCAAGAAGAGATCCTACCAAGGAAGATGTGCTGCAGCCGTAGTGAGCCACAATACACAGCGACCTGTTTGTGTGATCCAAAAGCGGCTACTCCCTAGTTTCAGTCCAACCTCTTTGATTGCTAAAGTTGAAGAAAGGAGAGCGCACAAAAATCTGAAAAGGAAGCTGAAACCAAGGAAAATTAAAATCAGAGATAGTGATACTAAAGAGAACGCATCCTATGGGGAATTCTGTGAGAAGCCTGACATGAGCAACGACGATAGAGGCTGCCAAGGTAGAATTCTTGAAAAAACTTGCAAAAACCGACTCCAAAATTTCCCAGATCGAGCAAGCCACAAAATCTCAGGATTGCAATTTGTGGCGTCTTCATCGAAGAATGAGGTTGACTGCGTCTCGGTTTGGTGAGGTTTGTAGAAGAAGAGATACAACAAGTTGCAGAGCTCTAGTAAACGCCATAATATACCCAACCGAATTCTTTAGCAATGCATGTGACTATGGAAAAAAGCATGAAAGCGTGGCAAAATCAGAAATAGAGAAATCATATTCGCAATCAGAAGTACAATCTTGCGGGTTGTTTATTGATAGGACCCATCCATTTCTGGCAGCATCGCCAGATGGTTTGATAGGCGAAAAAGGTCTGCTAGAAATTAAATGTCCATGGTCTGCTAGAGAAATAGCCCCTGAAGAGGGCATTCTGAACAAAAAAATTACGTTTTGGATAAACGATGAAATAAATAAAAAGCATAAGTGGTATTACCAAATTCAAGGGCAGCTACACGTTGCACAAAGAGAGTACTGTGTGCTTGGTGTTTGGACCCCGTATGGTTTGAAAATAGACGTCATTCGAAAGGATGACGTTTTCTGGAAAAATGAAATGGAAGAGAAATTGAAATTCTTCTACATGAACTGCTTGCTCCCAGAACTGGTCGATCCCAGAAAAAGCAGAAATATGCCAATCCGCGATCCCATCTTGAAGGCACAAGAGAACCGTTTGAACAAGAAAAAAATCAAATCCAAGCGAATAACCAAAATTTCTGTGTTATGTGCTGCGGTTATAATATGGTTCAAGATGACACACGGGTTGATGACGTCAGTTACACGAATCGCTTGAACGTGTTGGTTTTAACCGCGGTTTTGTTGCAAATTGTTTATTTTAGAAAAGCGCGTATATAATCTCTGATTGTTTTTATTATCACTTAATAATCGGTGCTTTTTCGTCTACAACTGTATATGGAAAGTTTAAATAAGAAACCTTTCATAATATTCATGAGAGAAATGTTTTTTGCAGATTTTTTTTTTAATGATGGAACCATGGCTTTGTAGCTATGATAACTTTCAATTCTCTAAATTTTTCCGCATGTCAAAGAAAACATTTATTGATTCAGCAGAAATGATGAAAAAAGAAATTAGCAAAACCGTATACAGGTGGATATCATCTAGTGAGTTTATATGGCCATATTTTAATATTCTTGTGGTATATGGCTACACAGGATACTTTGTTAAGCATAGGAACTACATTTAAAGTGTCCCCAACAACCGAAATGAGTATAACTAATAAGGTGCTCCACTTTATGGTAAAACTGAAGTCAGCCTGTATCAATTTTCTCAAAAATGAAGCTGAAGTACAATAACAATATCCAATACCCGGCAGAATTCTAACTTGTCACATTTCAAATAATAACCAGAAATATAAAACTACTCTTGAGTTGGGTAAATACCACAATTTTGCGGTGATAACTATGACATATAACAGCTGATTCGTGACGTCACGGATCTTATAACCAAACTGATAACTACACTCGCTTGAACGGATCGGTAAATACCAACCCAAAATGGTAAATACCATTTCCATTTGGTTATCCGCTTGAATTTGATTAAAGAGTTCTTGAGAATTGGCTATTTTTGCTGTACTCGGGTACCAAAATGGAAGAGATTAGCATATTACATTGTACGCCGTTCGTGTCGGCAAATGCGGTGTGCAGATCTCGCTTTAGCAGCGATGTGCGAGATGTTATGCTAATCTTTTCCATTTTGGTACTAGTACCAGATGTTCACTATTTATTGTATATTATGTATATATTGTTTATTTAAATAAAAGTCAATCGTCAGGCTCAATAGCACGTAGCATCGGCTAGCTTTATCTAGTCTGTTAGATGGCGAATATTGAAATGTCACATTGACACGTTAAGCGCCACAGTAGAATCTGAAAATCCAGTCCACTGGGCCAAACTGTTATTATTGTCAAATTAGCTTGTTTTAAGTTTCGGTTTAATATTTTGACTTGACTTTTTTCTCAAATCCTATGATTTTTCCCCTTTTTTGATTTTTTTTTCTGAGGTACTAATTGTATGTCGCGTGGCCCACAGACCAGTCGGGTCGCGTGGCACATAAGTCGCGTCGCGTTTTTTGCAAGTCAAGACTTGCATCATGTCGCGCGTTGAGCACTGTTTCGTGTCATTTATTATTGAAGCGTTGTTGGTATTGTACGTCATCTTGTCCAAATTGCGTTACTGTTTATAAATTATTGAATACCAAATTTGTGATGTCGCATTACGAAGCGGAGCAAAAAAGGCTTGAACAATTGTGTAATGAAATACTATCGGATGAAGAGAGTGGCAGTACTGAGTTATGTGGGGATGTATACTTATCTGATGCGTATTCTCCAAGTGGTAGTGAATCAGATAGTAGTTGTAGTAATTCCATTATTATCTGTATTACTGTTTATTTATACCAGTATTTTGTTTATCCCTGCATAAGACTTTGTCAATCTGTTTAGTTTATAAGAGTTCCTCCATATTTGTGTTCGTTAGAATATCGACATTTACCATAACTTACTGATTTGCTGTGAAATTACTTTGTTCATTTTTGAATGTCTGATTATTTTATAAGATTTGCTTTTTGTTTTAGATTTGTAGAATATCCTCTTTTTGTAAAACTCTATAAACAACGTGTTTTTTAATGTTTTCATTTCCAATTCAGTATAATTTGGTCCCTCAGGCCACGGACTCTTGGTTCCCGTAAGAAAATCACATCAGCATGGCACACGTCTTACGTTACGCGGCCAAATATAACTGCCAGCAGTGAGACATATCATGTGTGTCACGAGGCCCAAAGCGCCAAATGAGGTGCGACACACGCATTATATCTCATGACGCTTATCGTGTTAAGTTTATTCTACGATACTCCATAAGGTTAAAGCTAAACAGCAAGTGACATTTTATTTGTGGTAAATGCGTTCACTATATTATTTTTAACTAAAAAGATTACCGCCTCCAATGACCCTGGAACTACCTGGAAACTTTTGGTCACAAAGTTCTGTATTTGATATGTAAATTGGGGGTTTTGTACAAAAGTATGTAACTCGCAATTTCGAAACGGCGGCAATCTTGGAATCAAATTTTTAGTGAAGTACTGTATTCTACAAGGCGACGACTCTTATTTGAGATATTAGCAAGTATGTTATCCGCCATTTTGTAACGGCCGCCATCTTGATTTGAAACTGTTTTCGTATTACTGTTTTGTAAAAGTGCTTCCATTTGATATCCATATTGGAGTGATTGAACAAAAATGATTTTTTGTGGTATCACCTCTGAAGCATGGCCTATTGTATAAAAAGAAATGATCAAAATCGATTAAAAATTTCCCCTCTTTCATTGAAGTCTATTAAAAATATCACTTAATGGTCCGATGTTTATCTCGAACGACCGACGTTAAAACTGCTACTGTTTAACTTGGGACAACAAATTATCTGAATACGTCCTTTCTTAGTCCTTACACACCGCCGCGTTGCTTCGACTGGCAGCACGAGATAGTGTATAAAATTCGTGTAAAAGCCTATTTGCAGAGGTTTTCGCGCTTCAAAATTGACGCTTCATTTTTGAATATTTTTCAATGAAATTTTCACAGTGCACTAAAAACAAGACTCCACAGGGTGCTATAGAGCCACTTTTTCGTTTTTTCCTCTGGGTTATTTTTAAAAAAATCGAGAAGTCGAACAACAATTATCTGCACTTCCACCCACCATAACTCCTGAAAAAAATTTTTTTTAGAAAAGTGGCTCTATAGCACCCTGGACAATTGTCTTCTGAACATACTGTATAAATTTTATTCAAATATATAGAAAAATGGTGCGTCAATTCCGAAGCAGCTAAACCCTTGTAAATGGCCTGAAACTCACTGCGTCGGAGCCGCCTTAAGAGAAAAAGAAATACGTACCTTAAATATACTCATTGACCTTTGCTGTTGAATCTCAGTCGGCACAGGTTGTGGCATAGGAATATTGTTCTGCATAAAGGGGTTCACCCTCGTATTCGGCGACTTCTTGGCACTCTCATCTACCCTACTATCCTCCTTGATCCACAGCTGACAGCTCTTGGACTTTAACAAATCCCCGCCCCTCTCGCAACTGATCATTATGTTATCACTTGAAATTGTCGACTTCCTCATTTGCAACAACGTATTTTTGTCGTACTTGATCGAATTCAGTTCGAACTTGTACTTTTCGTATATCACTTTATTCTTGTATTTACCGGCTAGCTCATTCGTCTCATCGTCGGTGGTATTACAATTATTATCATGCCTGCTTGTCTTTCTCTGCTCATCCAAACTTTGACTCTGTTGGAGTTTCCCTTTTCTTTCTACGTTCTCAACAAGTTCCTCGCTGCTCAAGTTAGGCAAAATGTCTTTCTCTAAGTAACTCTCAGAGTCAGTGCTTAAACTCAAATTATCGTTATCCTCAACCTCTTGTTTAAAATCAGAAAGTTTGAAGGGCTTGTTGGAGTATGTCTCGCAACTAGCTGCTTCATCGTCGCTTTCTTCAACTGGCGGTATCACTAGAGTTAAGTGGATGTATGACTCGCAAAGGCATTCCCATTTCGTCTTCAACTTTTTCAAAAAGTTTTCTACGTAGTCGGAATCTGTAGAGCATTTCGTCTTTTCTTCGCGAGCCAAGATTTCCTTCAAGGTCTTGGGATCGATTGAGTACTTTCCGATACCGTCTAAACACAGTTCTATCAACACTATTATCTGAACTACCTCTGATGTGTTAGCCTGAGTATACAAATTTGCAGCTTTGTTTAAATTCCCAACTTTCTGCGTCAGGAATTTCAAACCAGGTCTGACGTCGAACTCTTTAGACCGTACATTCGAAATTTCCAAGCACTTCAGTAAAATATCAACATGTTTGGCGTTAACTTTCGTCAAGATACCCCTCAAACTACACGAATTTATTTGCAAGATATTCAAAATGGGAGTTATATGGTTCAAATTCTGCAAAAGCGCACTCGAAATGGTCTGGATCAGCATCTGGTGGGCCAGTATACCAACTACAAAATTCCGGAAAGGTACTCTGATAGTATAGAGATCCGGATTCAGCATAGAGTTACTATCAAATGGATAAAGAAGAAACACATAGCTTCTATCATCTATAACCACTCCCTTGCTTACTTCGCATTCGCAAGTCTTACCGGGACATTTGCTGCAGTGTCTCTGGGATTGCATCAAAAACACCTGTTGAGCCAGGTCGTATAACCTTTCGTTATCAGAAACTGTGCTGTCTCTTCTAGCGGCGACTTTAACCGTAGCTAAGTCGCCGTAGAAACTGTCAGAATTCTCTTTGAAAGCCAAAGAGAGCTGATACAATGGGCTCAAACTGATAGAGCAAGCTCTGTGTAAAGCTACAACCAAAATTTCCCACTGGTTGCATGTTAGGATCTTCCCGGCGCTTAGGATGATATGGCGGATGCAAGATGTCCCAAGACGTGCTATGTTTTCTGAAGGTTGAGCGACACATTCGATCAAGATGAGCAAAGATTGCTTTAAAGCCAAAGTAACACCTGGGTGTTCGGTTTTGTCGTTTTCTTGAAGGTGGAAGATGAAATCTACAACTAGTTCGCTGGCTAGGCCGCAACAGTGTTTGAAATTTTGCCAGACCTCGCCAGGTTTTTGAACCTTAACGTTTTGTCTCAACCAGTTTTGGACCATCGGAAGCAGAATGTGGTTGATGCAGTAGAGTCCAAAGTTGACGCCAGGACTTACAATCAGATCTCGTAAGAGTTTGAACAGCGTTTCGACGACGTAAGGTTGGTTTTTAGTTGCTGAGAGCATGGCTGCCGAAGCCAGACCTTCTAAAAGGATATAGTATATCTTGAGGACATTGCTTTGCTTATCCATATAACTCAATGTCAATTTTTCCTTTTCGCAATGATCAAAGTCGGGTTGGATTGACAAGATTTCGTAGCTAAGCTGATCCAGCGCGGTTTGGTTAAAGCTGACGATTTCAGTGTTTTGTATAACCGGATCTACAAGTTGTGGATTCGTATCTATAGTCATTCTATGGGTAAGATTGAAGCTGGGACATTTGGGCATGTTGTGCATCATCGACAATATCGCTGCGCAGCTCTGTAGCAGCTTCAGCGATTCTATACATAAATCTACGGGTCCAAGTGCAATTTTCGTCGGAAACTCGTTGTCTTTATCCAAGAACCCTACAGATTTTTTATCGTTAGCAATAGTGGTTTGAGCGTTATCGGTTGTCGGTTGGTCTTCGAAGTTAGAGTTCTTGATGTGCGATAACAAGCACAAAATGTAGTCGAGAGCCGCATTGGAAAAGACCAAGGTATTGTCATTGGAAAGGAATATCTTGAAGACGTCCAAGATGGCGGAGGCATTGTTTTTGGCGTTTGCTACGCGCAGGGTTCCGAACAGGGGTCTCCAACCCGAGCAGATTTCGGTTCTGTTCGCCTCTACGAATTCGCAAAGGCAGGCGACGATCTGGTCCTGGAAATATAAAATAAAGCATATGTTATTCAAAATATTCTTCCAGAAGATACCCAATTCAATTGAAACGACCCATTTTTACAACTATACAGGGTGTCCTACGCATGGAAATCTCAATAATTGTGGGAGATAAAACATAAGTTATGCAGGGTGGTCCATAAGTCCTTTGAAATTTCAAATTTGAATAAAATTTAACGGGTGAGCGTGAGCGGCGCGGGCGAGGTGGGGGCAGTATCTTCAGTGTCTGGGAATTCAGTCGCCATGGAGTGTTTCACTGGAGCGGATCGTGCGTTTTGTGTGCGCGCGTTTTATCAAAATAATGATTCGGCAACCATTGCGCGGCGTAAATATCGAGAATACCACAATTTTACAAAGTGTCCAACAGCTCAAACGATTAAGAACTGGGTTGCTAAGTTCGAAGAGACTGGTTCGACGTTAGATAAACAGCGGTGGGGTCGACCAAGGACAACTCGTATTGAAGAAAACATCAACATTGCGGCACAGTCTGTTCGTCAAATTCCTACCCAGTCTACTCGTAAGCGTTCCAGTGCACTAAACGTACCCAGAACATCTTTACAGTGGATTTTAAGGAAAGATTTACGTCTGCACGCTTACAAAATTCAGTTAGTGCAGGAATTAAAAGATAATGACGCTATTCAGAGACTAAACTTTGCGAATGAAATGTTGAATCGATTTTCTTCGCTCAATAATGTGTTGTTCTCGGACGAGGCTCACTTCCGTTTAAACGGGTATGTAAATAAACAAAATTGCCGTTATTGGAGCCCCGAAAATCGAAGGCGTAAGCATCAGAAGCCCTTACACAGCCCTGAAGTTACAGTTTGGGCTGCTATGTCAGCGCATGGCATCGTAGGCCCTTATTTTTTTGAGGACGACAGAGGTCACGCATTAACTGTTACTCCGGAGCGGTATGTAGCAATGATGGAAGAGTTTTTGACACAAGCGTTGCAGAATTTTCCAGGCTATAATACGCGGACCTGGTTTCAACAGGACGGAGCAACTGCCCACACCTCCAACACTTCTATGCCCGTCGTCTGTCAACTTTTTCCCAGCAAAGTAATTTCTCGAAGAGGAGACATTTCCTGGCCACCACGTAGTCCAGATTTGACCCCAATGGACTTCTTTTTATGGGGCTACCTCAAGAGTAAAGTGTACGACACCACTCCGCGATCGGTTGATGTCCTGAAAGAAAATATCCGAAGAGAAATGGCAAGCATTGCAGTGTTGACTTGCCGCGCAGTCATCGACAATTTTAGACGTCGTTTATATGAGTGCCGTGATCGTAATGGATTGCATTTAGACGATGTGATTTTTAAAACATAATTCCCATTCAATAAAGATGATAACAAAATATAATAATTCTTCATAATGTAACTAGTTTGGTTTTATTCTTTTTTTCCAGCTCAAAGGACTTATGGGCCATGTTGCATTCTTTGGGGCGTATTTATACTAAGTGACATATAAATCCGAACACCCAGTTTAAATGGTTTTATTTTAATAAAAGTTGGTGAATGTATTTATCTTACTGTAAATAACAAGTGAAAAAATGTTCAGCCTTATCAGTTGGACATTCCGGTTTTTATACTGCTTTTTTTTAATTCACTAACGCTCTAAAAATGAATATTTCAGCCGCAGTAAAGAATCAACGTTGGCGGATTTTGATTCTTGACATCCTTTACGATCGGTTACGATGCCTAGAGTACGGAGACCTGTACGATTTCGTCAACTTAGTGAGTTTCATAGGGGCCGTATGCTGGGACTTCGGGAAGCTGGACTTTCTTTTCGGGCAATTGCAGTTAGAGTGCAAAGAAGTGTAGACACTGTGGTTACGTGTTGTCAGGCATGGCTTCGAGAAGGCCGTACGCAAAGAGCAAGGGGCACTGGACGCCGCCGTAGAACAACAGACCGTGAAGATCGCCGCCTAAGATTATTGGCCTTAAGGGACCGTTTCTCCACTACCGGGTCCATTGCAAATGAATGGTTTGCAGAACACGGAAGACCTATTGGCATGCGAAGTGTTTACCGACGAATGAGAAGTTTTGGCTTGTTTTCATACCGGCCACACTGGGTCCTCCCTTTAACTCGAGAACACCGACGTAATCGCCTTGAGTGGTGCAGACAACGGTCACTCTGGGATCAGGAATGGAACAGTATTGTCTTTAGTGACGAGTCTCGATTTTGTTTAGGCATGCACGATGGTCGTGCCAGGGTTAGAAGGGGACGTGGTAAAAGGAGGAATCCACGGTTTTTTGTTGAAAGACATGTTCATCACACTGTTGGAGTTATGGTTTGGGGTGCTATAGCTTATGGTTCCAGGTCACCTTTAATCTTCATCAGAGGTAACATGAACGCGCATCGTCATATCCATGAAGTTGTAGAACCCCATCTTTTACCTTATCTTGACACCCTGGCAGATCCAACTTTCCAACAAGATAATGCCCGACCACATGTTGTAAGAGTCACAATAGACTTCTTTCAACATAATGATGTCACATTGTTACCATGGCCACCAAGATCTCCCGACTTATCCCCAATTGAGCACGTGTGGGATATGATGGGTAGGAGATTGCCCAATTTGCAACGTCCTCCTCAGACTCTAGAAGCACTTCGAGAGGAGTTGGTGGCTGCCTGGAATGAGATACCACAGGAGGACATTGACCACCTGATCAGAAGCATGCCTAGGCGCGTTGGAGAATGCGTAGCACATTATTAAAGGTCAAAGGGCTTTAAAGCAGTGCAATCATTTAGAAATTTTTATCATTTACTTATTATGCTTCATTAAGTACTTATACAAAATTTTATTAAAATAAAACCATTTAAACTGGGTGTTCGGATTTATATGTCACTTAGTATACATGCCGTTGACAAACTTATGAAAAACTAAAATTTGCTCAAATCGTTATTTTTTTTTGACTTAAGAAATATCCAAAAACTAGTGGAACTTTTTTGCCGAGCATCCCATTATTATCAGTATTAAGTTACTCGAATTTTATTATAAATTCAAATAGCTTCACAACGATTGAAGATAGGTATGAACTTTATTATACAAAAGTTACTAATAACTTCATGGAAAATCTAAAAACGAAAAAGGGGTTTCCATTTAAAAATCTAAATTGTAACGCAATATCTTATTTTTGGATCGCCCTGTATTGCACGGTTATAGATGAAAAATCGTCCGCCTAGAAATCAAAATTGACGTGTCCGAGCGTTTTTCCTAAAGGAGTGCGACCTTTTCGTTGGGCCTCCCTGTGTATTGGTTATACGAAAAAATGCGGGTTTCTGATTTTTTTATTTTCTTAAGCAGCTTAACCATCTGTGTGGGTGGATTATCAAAATCTTTCACAGATTTCATGAATCAAATTGAGAAGCTACATTCAATGGGGACAGCGAAACAAAATTTTATAGGCGAACTTCCGTTGAAGAGCAGCAACATTGACTGCCCCGGAAAAGCTAAAAAGCTATTTTTCAGGTCAACGATGTTTTTCCGGATCAAAGAAGTGATTGAAAGTTTGAAAGACCAGAAAAATCGTAAAAGGCAACGGATAAAAATTCTTGCTTAGACCAAGTCATTTCCATTTATTGTTATACCGCAAGAAGAAGATAACTCAATTTTTCTACCTTTGGAGTCGCGTACATTTTCACACTTACATGTACTTAGGATGTTCTGTAAAATAAGGATAAAGGTAGTGCAGTATTAACGCTTGAGCTGTAGCCTATGAAATAGGAATTATCTTTTATTAAAATCCACCATTTTGTTTTGTATAAAATTTTAATGTAGCCAGTGTCACGCATATTTGAAAATCCGTCCAGTCGTTTGACCTGTAGGTGAAAATATGCACGTTATCCATATCAATCCGAACGAGAATCACTCTCAGCGTGACGTCACGCACTCCGGCGGACAAAAATCGAACAGCGGATCATCCGGCTCTGGCTCGCGGCTCAGTACCGCCCTGACAGTCATCGCCGTCACCGCAGGTGTTAAATTCGTGCGGTCATCCGATTTTTGCACGCTAAAACGTTACCACTCGTGAAAATTCATCGCCAGTCGAGTGAAGTATATGGGGAAACGTGTATCAGCATTCAACATGTTCTCGAATGGAGAATAGTCGCATAGACATCAAAGAAAAACAACGAAGCGGGAGACCGTCGATCTCCGAGGAAGCTATGGTGAAGATTGAGCAAATCTTGGTCGAAGATCGGCGAATCACGATCCGGGAACAGGCAGTTGAAACTCCTGAGGCTTCTGAAAAAGCTGAGATGGGCAATCCAAAATCGTCGTAAGGAAAGTTTTCAAGCGGGCTAGTGGCAGACTTCCTTGAGGCGAGAGTGAAAAAATAGATTTGACGTCAAAAACATATGTAGAAAAAATGTCAACTATGTAGAAAAATAGCTTAAAGATCAACGTTTCCAATGGTAAATTCGTTTTTCCAAATAAAAAATTCCTAGTGTCTCAAAAAATGCGTAACCATATTTTTCAGACTGCGCTCGTAATATGTAATTTGTTTGTATCGCTACTTAAATAAAACAATTTTCTTTTTAACCAAGTAAATAAATTTAACTTGTGATACATCGTTGAATCCGTAGAAAAAGATGCTATCAGATACAATTCGGACCATATAAAATATAAATCATGGATAGAAAATTTCTTGCTCACTGTATATAGTGTATTCAGTGTTTGCTCTATACAGGGTGTCCGCAAAGTTGGGGTTTTCCTTTTCAGAAACAACTACCCTTGAAATAACAAAGGTAATGTGTAGTGAAACGAGGGCGATCAAGTGAAAAAAAAAATAAAGGAAAAAGTACTCAATCTCCAGTTGACGAGAAGGGCTAAGTACGTCTCTGCCCGAAATCATACCGCTCCAACAGAAAATGAAATCAGCTGATGCGCTACCGCGCAGACGCCGGCGGTGGTGCAGACCACGAACAGAGGTAACAAATATGACAAATTTGGGAGAATAAATGGTCCAATGAGCATACCGTTCATCATGCCAGCCCAAACATTCACCGAAAATGTTTGTTGGAAATTTGCCCGACGGACAGCGTGCGGATTTTCTACTGACCAAACATGAGTGTTGCGAAAGTTATTCACCCCATTACGCGTCAACGTAGATTCGTCTGTCACCAATATGCACTTCAAAAGGTCCGGATTATTGTCATGTTGATGCAACAACCACTCACAAAACCGCACTCTTGCTGGAAAATCGTCAGGTTGAAGGGCTTGTACACGTTGGACGTGAAACGGATACAGCCCCTCTTCACGCAGCGTTTGCCACACTTTAGTTTTTGTTCGTTTACCTCTACACGCGTGACCGTAACCGTCGGTTGAAGGTTGCATACTGACCTGACACACTGACCGCTACCCACTTGTACCAGTCTGGGATATCGCTGCGGGTCGCGGCTACAGGACGGTATTCAGATATTTTTGATGTTGCAGAGCCCTTTATCCCGGTTCCCTTAAGACATTGGTGTATATGGTACTAAGAAAAATTGCTTATGTTTTCAAGATCTACACGTCGCGTAAAGGAAAACCCCAACTTTGCGGACACCCGGTATACAGGATCCTAAAAGTATGGACACGCCCAAATATCTTGGAAACTAAGGGTGTTATAAAACATTTGAATACAAAAGTTTTAGGAAATCAAATGACGCATCTAGTGGTGACCTTGGATTTTACGTTTAGTTTTACCTTGAAGGTCATTTCAACGGTAAGTTGATTATTTTGAATTTGCGACAGAAATAGAAAGCCAAAAACATTCTTTTCAACAGTATGAATATCATAGGGACTAAAATTACATCTTAATGTTATTTCAAGATCAATTGTTGCTCTTTAATGGAATGTTGGGAAGCTGTAAACACTGTTGGAGCCAAGACTTATCCCTGAGGAACACCTGCATTGACATTGTGGGATGAAGAGGAGAATCCGTCAATTACGACAGATATCCTGCAGCCAGAGAGGAAATTCTCCCATTTGCAAAGCTTCTCTGGGAGGCCATAGGATGGCACTTTCGAAGTTATAGAACCAAGTGCAACGCTACCCACTATGAAGAAATTCTGCAAGCATAAATACTGCCGAGTTTTCTGCCTGAGAGTGGCTATAAAAGCTTCGCCCTGTCAAAAAAAGCTATAGACGGGCCAAGAATAGCGAACAAACAGAACGACGGATATAAGTGACATGGCTTTATCATATAACATCAAAAAAAGAGTACACCTCCTGGCCACCTGGTTAGTAGCACAGGAAATAAGCTATGGCGGACGAATTTTTTTCTGAACATCCATACAGATGAGCATCTTCATGAAGAATCAATGACGGAGCCAAACAACCTTATGAAGTTGCCGAATTTGAAGCTGTTCTTGAAATTAGTTACCTGTACGTCCATATCACACAGTTCTAAGCACAGCAGATTCTCGAACGGTTTTATTAAAGCTTCGTTGAAGTGGAAATGTGGCAACTCCGCCTGCTCGTTCAGCAAAGCGGTCACGGCATCGTGGATACATGTCACAGCCTTCTTTGATATAGTCCTGTCAAAAAATAAGGGTTTATGTATCTAACGTATTTGTACCTATGTCCTAACAGTTTTGGTACAAGATTCATTGGCTTTAATTTTTACCAAATAATATCAAGTTGCCTTTGGAAACAAAAGTTCGTTTACTTAATTTACTGTCGGTTGAAGTTTATTTATTTTTGATTGTTCACTTTAAGATGTATGAATTCACTGGTCAACAAAATTTTAACTTTGTCGTGCCACACGGACTTTTTTGTTATTTTTTACTTCAATTGGTGATTGTAAGAAAAAATAAACAGTTAAAAAAAATTTGCTAGACAAGGATTTTATTCTATTGAGTAATTTAAAATATTAAGAAAAAACACAGATCTCGTAAATCAAAAGTTATTTTTTTTTATAAATGACTTAATAATCTAAGATTTTCTTGAATAATTAGCTTCTGGTTGGTCCCTTTTAATTGTCCAGCAGTAATCTGCTAACATATTTGGGCTCCATTTGCCCTGGTACCGCTTTTCCATATTAGAAATGTCCTGATGGAACCTCTCACCGTGCTCGTCGCTGACAGCCCCTAAATTGTCAGGAAAAAAATCCAGGTGCGAGTCTAAAAAATGGATCTTAAGTGACATGTTGCAACCCAATGCTTGATATGACAATAATAGCTCGCTAACCAACTCTCTGTAGCTGTCACTCTTGTGGTTACCCAAAAAATTTGAAACAACATTTTTAAAAGCCTTCCATGCAGATGTTTCTAAGTCGCTTAATTTTTCTTCAAATCTTGAATCTTTTATTAACTCCCTAATTGGAGGGCCAACAAAAATACCCTCTTTTATCTTTGCATCACTTATTTTAGGGAATTTTTCTTTTAGATACAAAAATCCACTCCCATTGCGATCAATTGCCTTCACAAAATTTTTTATTAATCCTAATTTGATATGCAATGGTGGTAGAAGCACATTATTTGGCTGTACAAGGGGTAAATACTTTACGTTTTTTTGCCCAGGAACTAACGATGCACGCGTAGGCCATGTTTTTTTTATATAGTGATTAGTTCTGTCTCGGCTATCCCATTCACATAAAAAGCAGCAAAACTTTGTATAACCCAGCTGAAGTCCAAGTAATAGTGCAACAACTTTAAGATCACCGCAGATTTTGAAGGAATATGTACTGTAATTTATTTTTTCAAGTAAAAGTTTCATATTTTCATAGGTTTCTTTCATATTTGCAGCATGGGCCAGAGATACAGACGGAAGCTTATTTCCATTATGCAATAACACTGCTTTTAGACTTGCTTTCGAAGAATCAATGAATAAACGCCACTGAGAGAGATCAAAATCTATGTCCAACATTTTCATAATCTCATTTATGTTATTGCAAAACACCAAATCTCCATCCTGAGAAAAATACGTTCTGAAGTGTTGATCACGGTTTCGAAAATAGCTATTGTATTATGATGTAGCAAATTCCATTCTTTTAGACGTGATCCTAATAGTTCTGACTGCTTTTTTGACAAATTTAAATCCCGAACCAAATCATTTAGGTCTCCTTGAGTTATCAAATGTGGCTCGTTTACAATTCCTTTTAACTCAAAGTCATCGTCCTCGTCAACACATTCACCTGAAGTGGACGGTTGTGAATTGTTCCCAACAGACGTAGTTGCAACTGGTATTAGTTCTGGCAATTTTTTACAATGAGAGACTGGTCTTATAGCCGAAGATAAGTTAGGGTAAATAACTGTGATTTTTTTCTTGTAATTTATACCTTTTATGTCTGTGAGACAAAAATAGCAATCTGAAACGTGATCTCGCTGTTCAGTCCATATCATGGGTACAGCAAACGGCATAGGTCGTGCACCTTTCTTCCAGTCAGGTAAATTTTTCAAACACGTTATGCAACAGACATGAGGGGCCCAGGATTTGTCTTGATGGGCGACAGAAAAACCAAACATTGGTGATAACACTCCAACACAAGATTCGTAAAATTTCGTCGTTGTTTTTTGAATGTTAGTTCTCCGCAGACATAACAAAAAGAGTTAGGATCATTATTACACTTCCTCGACATATTCACAGGGTTAATAAATCACAAAAAAGTGTTCAAATTCAACAACAAATATTTTTATAAGGATTTACTTGTAAGCGTTTCTGTTAATTTACTGCCGTAGTACTAGTTATGAGTATTACCGTATCAGAACAAATATGAGGCTAATAGACATATGACAGCTGTCATGTAATAATGAGGGTAGACTGATAAAACAAAATTAGCTGTCAAAGTTCGTGTGGCAAAACCAGTGTTGACCAGTGATTATGAATAAGAAAGATTATTTACAAGTTGGTTGGGCGGGTACCCAAAACTGAAATCTGTCGAATATCCCAGAATGAAAACATTTCACGCAGAACCATTTATCGAACAATAGCGGAGTGCGAGCAGGGAACACCATGTCCGAATCTGCCAAAAACTGGAAGACCATGTGCATTTAATGCATAGAAGTCAGTGAGACTGGTGAGAAGAGCAAAAAATCACGTTGGAATGTCAACAAGGAGACTTCTAGATATCGGAGATAGGAGATCTTCTAAGAGTACGATATCGTTGGAATTGATCAGGAATAGTCTTTAATATATCGAAAGGGACTAAAGTGCCCCACATAATCTCAACCGTATGGATGATTGAATGAATGAATCGTGAAATTAGAGGCATTCCGGCCACCATAAAGAGCCAGTGCATAGGCCGCTCAAACGGGCCGTTATGCACCTCTACAATCCTTAGATCATAAGCCTCGCCCTTTTAGCAAGTTGAAAATCGCCTTGAGTCCAAGCTCCTTGACGTGCTGAGGATCCAAAGTAATGGACCCCAGTATAGTCTGCCTATACTCGTAGTAGCCCAGAGCTTCACAGTGACACAAAACGTGCGTCCCACTCCTCCCTCGTTGGATACTCCGCAATAAACTTGCGGTTGAAGCGATATTTGCAATTCGACTAAGATGGCAGTTTGCCCATTGACAGGATTTAAGAAAGCCCAGCTGCCCTGACTCCACAGACGATGAGCGACTAATCTCGCTTCACCGCGAATCACCAGATCCAACAGTGGGAGATCCAACAGAGCTTCCATTGCACTCAATGGCGTTGTTCGCACTGCGCTTGTAATGATAATACAGGCCAAACGCTGAATTTTATTGAGTTTAGCCTTAGTTGTCTCAGCTCTACTGCAGGGCCACCAGACCAGGGAGCCGTACTATCGTCATGCTCTCTCCAGTTCAATTTTCAATCCAGGATAATTCCCAGATATTTCACTGATTGGGATAGAATTAATCTAGTCCCAAAGAAGGTCGGCATGACCAGCCCGTCAAGCCTTCTTCTCCTAGTGAATAGGATCAGCTCGGTCTTTAAAAGCATTAACAGAAAAATCGACTTCCCTGCACCACGATTCCACAGAGAGCGCAGAGCGCCCTGCATAATTCCAGAGACTGTTCTACACAAACGTCCCCTAACTACTATGCTCAAGTCGTCAGCATAGGCTTGCACGTAGACACCCACACTGCTGAGCCTAACGAGGAGTTCGTTCATCACGATGCACCACAGTAGGGGTGACAGAACTCCTCCCTGAGGACAGCCTCTAGCTCTAAATGCACCTTCAATGTCCAAAAAGACCACGAGTGCCACTTCTCGCCGATCAGTCTATTTCCCAGCTCGGTATGCAAACTGAGTTTCATGAATGACACACCTTTCCAGCGGGCCATCCCTAAAGCATCTATCAACTATCCTTCCCAATCCAGCACAAAACATGAAAGAGTAACCGGACGAAAATCTTTCGGGCCAGTATATCTAGCTCTGCCCGGTTTAGGAATGAATACCACTTTAGAATGCCGTCAGCTTCTAGGTGTGAAGCCCGTGGCCACACATGCTCGAAACACCTTCAACGGGATAGGAACAACCGAACTCCGTCCCTGCTGTCACATGGCCGGAAATACGCCGTTCAGACCTGGACTTTTGTATGGAGCAAACGAATCTATCGCCCATACCGTCCTTTCGAAACCGTAACTCTTTCGTATACCAAGATGCTGTCTACAACTGAGGCGGGTACACTTTGCCAATGGAAAAATCATTATTTTAGAAGACTTTCAGTAATTCTAAAATGAAGGGAAACGACGGATTTTATACGGAGAACGTAGAGGAATGCCCTGATAATGTTAGATGCCAACATCAAGCAAAATTTGTAGATAAAATCCTTGTCTGGTGCACAATTTCTAACAGGGGTGTATCCCAACCTTTTGTGGGAAGGGTGAGGGGTGAAGCTTTGAATAGTCAGAGCTAAATTGTTTCAGTTTGTCCATGAACATCATGCTAATGACCATATCATGTTTAGGCCAGAACTAGCATCATGCCATTACTCAAGAGATACCCTAAACTATATTACAACTATTTAAAACTGTAATGACTCATACGCGTGATCAACACGTGATCAGAGCTCGATCCCGGCTTCCTTCCAGTACAGCCGTATAGCGTACGACATATGTCGTTTCTGTGGCTTTGCGGTGGTCAACAGCACAGGCAGAGATGGAAATAATGGCTGATTGTTCTCCGCCGGTAGAACCAATGAAATCAAAGACGCGCCTCGACCGGCAGACTCATAGGCGTCGGCAACGTGTTTCGTTGAGCGATCGCATATTGTGTGTTTTTATGAGAATTGTTGTGGTTTCTGTGGTTACTGTTTTGGTTATACTTAACCATGGAGAGTACAAATGGCACGAGTGGAAGTACTGAAAGCCAGGGAACAAGTAGACGGCTTCGTAAAGCACTGAAGAGGGACGCGAAAGAAATCGTGCTCAACGTGTTCAATTATCTGAACAGAACTATGTCGCAGGGAGATGCTCTCGCGCATTGTGAAAGTATGACAGGCGTTCCAGAGTGGACCATTCGCAGGGTGGTGCATGAAAAGAAGAAAACTGGAGCTACTACTGATTCAAAGTTTAATTTGAAGGGACGAAAGGCCGTTAAATTGGATGACGATAGCAAAATGGCGTTAAGGCGAACCGTACCTTCATTCTTCTTTAGGAATGAGATACCAACCCTCAAGGCTGTACATGCAGCGATCAAGGAAAATGAAATTATACCCCAAATGAGCGTCGAGGTAATGAGGAAATCCCTGCACGAAATTAATTTTCGTTACGAAACGCGTAATCGGAAGTCAGTATTGATAGAGAGACCTGAAATAGTCGCATGGCGTCGAAAATACCTACGCGAAATGATTGAATATAGGCGACAAAGCAGAAAAATCTATTATTTGGACGAGACATGGGTAAATGCAGGTCACACAGTTAAAAAAACCTGGATAGACAAAAACGTAGTGAGTAACCGACAAGCAAGCATTGAAGGTTTGTCAACAGGTCTTCGTGGACTGTCAGGGAAAGGTCAAAGATTGATCGTAACTCATATTGGTAGCGATAGTGGCTTTTTAGAAGAGTGTGACTTGATTTTCGTCTCTAAGAAAGGAGGTGATTACCATGACGAAATGAATGGCAGCTGCTTCGAGAGCTGGTTTCAAGGGGTGCTTCAGCGAGTTGAGCCCAACTCTGTGATCGTCATACCATAGTCGTCGAGCAGAACGTGTACCGACTATGGGATCTCGAAAAAGTGACATGCAGCAATGGTTGCGCGAAAAAAGAATCCCGTTTGACGATTCATGTGTGAAAGCGGAATTGTATGAAAAAATTAAACAGCACAAACCTGCGAACATTAGTTACGTGACTGATGAGATGGCCCGTCAATGTGGTGTCACTGTGCTGCGGTTACCGCCCTACCACTGTGAACTGAACCCAATACAGCTCATCTGGGCTCAAGTGAAGGGTTATATTGCGCGCCATAACACAACCTTCAAATTACCAGACGTTAAGGTTTTACTTGAGACTTCCATACAGCTAGTAACGCCCGAAGCTTGGCAGAATGCTATCCGTCATGTTGTGAAGGAAGAAACAAAAATGTGGCAGCTTGACCACCACATCGACACCATCATAGAGCCAGTTATAGTCAATTTCAACGAGGAAAGCGATAGCGACAGTTTATTACTGTCAGATGTAAGTGGAAGCATCGATGAATAAAGGTAATTCCCAAATTTTTGACTTACAATATGTTTCAAACCACTCTTTATTAAGCATGTGACAAATCTAGTTCACCCATGTTAAACATTCATACCCCGCCTATGAACAGCCGACTACTGGTAGTTAAGTGATGTTCACGTGAACATCGATGAGTCATTACAGTTTTAGATAGTTATAGTATAGCTTCGACAACATACCTTTTGTTCCCAAAAACAATAATCTTCCAATCTTAAGCAATACAGGATTTTTGGGCTTTACTGTCTAGGAAGGTTAATCATGGAGGCTGGGAAGCCCAAGATGAGGAGAATGAAGAAGGCGAATTTACGAAAAACTGAGAGAAATTGATCTGAATTCCATGCAGGACCTCATGAGAGACATTCGCAGAAAAGTTGCGTCTGGTAGAGCAGAATAGGCCACTGTACATAATTTGATAGTATAGTTTAGTTAAGTATTGAGTTGTAATTCATGATAACTAGTTAGTGTTTAAATAAATTTCTTCGTTCTAATATCCGATAAATATTTTGTGCCAAAACTCTTAGGACATACGTCAAACTTAAATTAGAGTCTAAAGCCTCTTACACGCCAAGGCGTGTAAAGCCAAGTGTGGTTTTTCAAAATCCAAAATCATAACATATTGCTTATAATTATACTAAGTGACATATAAATCCGAACACCCAGTTTAAATGGTTTTATTTTAATAAAAGTTGGTGAATGTATTTATCTTACTGTAAATAACAAGTGAAAAAATTTTCAGCCTTATCAGTTGGACATTCCGGTTTTTATACTGTTTTTTTTTAATTCACTAACGCTCTAAAAATGAATATTTCAGCCGCAGTAAAGAATCAACGTTGGCGGATTTTGGTTCTTGACATCCTTTATGATCGGTTACGATGCCTAGAGTACGGAGACCTGTACGATTTCGTCAACTTAGTGAGTTTGATAGGGGCCGTATAGTGGGACTTCGGGAAGCTGGACTTTCTTTTCGGGCAATTGCAGTTAGAGTGCAAAGAAGTGTAGACACTGTGGTTAGGTGTTGTCAGGCATGGCTTCGAGAAGGCCGTACGCAAAGAGCAAGGGGCACTGGACGCCGCCGTAGAACAACAGACCGTGAAGATCGCCGCCTAAAATTATTGGCCTTAAGGGACCGTTTCTCCACTACCAGGTCCATTGCAAATGAATGGTAGTGGAAGACCTATTGGCATGCGAAGTGTTTACCGAAGAATGAGAAGTTTTGGCTTGTTTTCATACCGGCCACACTGGGTCCTCCCTTTAACTCGAGAACACCGACGTAATCGCCTTGAGTGGTGCAGACAACGGTCACTCTGGGATCAGGAATGGAACAGTATTGTCTTTAGTGACGAGTCTCGATTTTGTTTAGGCATGCACGATGGTCGTGCCAGGGTTAGAAGGCGACGTGGTGAAAGGAGGAATCCACAGTTTTTTGTTGAAAGACCTGTTCATCACACTGTTGGAGTTATGGTTTAGGGTGCTATAGCTTATGGTTCCAGGTCACCTTTAATCTTCATCAGAGATAACATGAACGCGCAGTTCTAGAACCCCATCTTTTACCCTATCTTGACACCCTGGCAGATCCAACTTTCCAACAAGATAATGCCCGACCACATGTTGCAAGAGTCACAAGAGACTTCTTTCAACATAATGATGTCACATTGTTACCATGGCCACCAAGATCTCCCGACTTATCCCGAATTGAGCACGTGTGGGATATGATGGGTAGGAGATTGCTCAATTTGCAACGTCCTCCTCAGACTCTAGAAGCACTTCGAGAGGAGTTGGTGGTTGCCTGGAATGAGATACCAGAGGAGGACATTGACCACCTGATCAGAAGCATGCCTAGGCGCGTTGGAGAATGCGTAGCACATCAGGGTGCATCCACACATTATTAAAGGTCAAAGGGCTTTAAAGCAGTGCAATCATTTTGAAATTTTTATCATTTACTTATTATGCTTCATTAAGTACTTATACAAAATTTTATTAAAATAAAACCATTTAAAATCATTAGAGTGTTCTTAAGTACGTTACCTATCTTTGTGACAAGCAGCCTGCATAAAATGGGGTCCGACTATAGACCACACTTTCATAATATGGATCAGTGGCCTTCCTGATTTTATACACTTCAAAGTTACTTCACCTATTCTGTGGAGCAACAGAGTAGGCGGGGGTTTCTGTTGGGTTTCTAATTCTCGTTTCCACCATTTTTTCTGTTGCCTCGGCGATTCTTCATATCTCGTGAACAACTGAAATAAACAACAGCCATAGTACAGTGCTTTTATAAACGGTGCTCCAAACCTATTTTTGGAGTGACTTAAGTTAGGAAGATGATAATTTATACCGTATTTCACGAGTATCCGTCACGCTTTGACGTCTACTGAGGTGAACAGCTGACTTTTCTAAATAAAAGTACAAAATGAATATGTAGTGTACAAAAAACCGAAACAAAATACGACTCTGACTACCTGACGTTGACGGATCCGTCAGAATTCTGTGACCTTTGCCGATATGGGGAATTTTGAGATATCAGATTATAATGCATCATTCAGTGAGTTTAGAACAATAAACATTAATCGTCTCAAGAAGGTTATATCAAAAATCAAATCAGAAGTGTACTTAATGAATGTTTTGATATTATTGGAGCAAGAATATTAATCATGATAAATTACTGTTTAAAATATGGCGAATTTCCAACAAAACTGAAGTTTTCTACCATAACTCCTGTTTCTAAAGTTAAGAATTCTGAGATGTACACCAATATGCGGCCAATAAATGTTCTGCCAGATGTTGAAAAAGTTTTTGAGGAAATTATTTACGAACAGATCATTGAGGGAAATAACATTTTAACCAAATTTCAAGCTGGATTCAGGAAGAAACACTCAACTGAAATGGCAACACAAACGGTTTTAGAGGACTGGAGATGTATGGACAATCGGAAACATACAGTAACAGTGTTTTTTGACGTCAAAAGGGCGTTTGAGATTATTGACAGCGATAAATTACTTACAAAAGTGCATCACTACGGATTTAAAGGTTCTGTATTCAAACTTCTACAAAACTATTTAATTGACAGAAGTCAAAATACCAAAATTGGATCTACATTATCAAGATCAAAAAATATTTCTGTTGGTATGCCACAGGGTAGTAAACTAGGTCCACTACTATTTATTTTATACATTAATGACATTTGTAATATTTCAGATTATTGTAAACTTCAGATATTTGCATTAATATACACATCAGACGAAAATGTAGACACTGCTTTAAAAATGCTAAATTTTGACTTGGCAAAAATCGTTAATGCAAATAAACTAAAATTGAATACTTCTAAAACAAAATGTATACTAATAGGGAAATACCTAAATGAAAACACTATCACACTTAGGATAAATATAATTAAATATTTAGGTATATATATATATATACTAAGTGACATATAAATCCGAACACCCAGTTTAAATGGTTTTATTTTAATAAAATTTTGTATAAGTACTTAATGAAGCATAATAAGTAAATGATAAAAATTTCAAAATGATTGCACTGCTTTAAAGCCCTTTGACCTTTAATAATGTGTGGATGCACCCTGATGTGCTACGCGTTCTCCAACGCGCCTAGGCATGCTTCTGATCAGGTGGTCAATGTCCTCCTGTGGTATCTCATTCCAGGCAACCACCAACTCCTCTCGAAGTGCTTCTAGAGTCTGAGGAGGACGTTGCAAATTGAGCAATCTCCTACCCATCATATCCCACACGTGCTCAATTGGGGATAAGTCGGGAGATCTTGGTGGCCATGGTAACAATGTGACATCATTATGTTGAAAGAAGTCTATTGTGACTCTTGCAACATGTGGTCGGGCATTATCTTGTTGGAAAGTTGGATCTGCCAGGGTGTCAAGATAGGGTAAAAGATGGGGTTCCAGAACTTCGTGGATATAACGCTGCGCGTTCATGTTACCTCTGATGAAGATTAAAGGTGACCTGGAACCATAAGCTACAGCACCCCAAACCATAACTCCAACAGTGTGATGAACATGTCTTTCAACAAAAAACTGTGGATTCCTCCTTTCACCACGTCGCCTTCTAACCCTGGCACGACGATCGTGCATGCCTAAACAAAATCGAGGCTCGTCACTAAAGGCAATACTGTTCCATTCCTGATCCCAGAGTGACCGTTGTCTGCACCACTCAAGGCGATTACGTCGGTGTTCTCGAGTTAAAGGGAGGACCCAGTGTGGCCGGTATGAAAACAAGCCAAATTTTCTCATTCGTCGGTAAACACTTCGCATGCCAATAGGTCTTCCGTGTTCTGCAAACCATTCATTTGCAATGGACCTGGTAGTGGAGAAACGGCCAATAATCTTAGGTGGCGATCTTCACGGTCTGTTGTTCCACGGCGGCGTCCAGTGCCCCTTGCTCTTTGCGTACGGCCTTCTCGAAGCCATGCCTGACAACACCTAACCACAGTGTCTACACTTCTTTGCACTCTAACTGCAATTGCCCGAAAAGAAAGTCCAGCTTCGCGAAGTCCCACTATACGGCCCCTATCAAACTCACTAAGTTGACGAAATCGTACAGGTCTCCGTACTCTAGGCATCGTAACCGATCGTAAAGGATGTCAAGAACCAAAATCCGCCAACGTTGACTCTTTACTGCGGCTGAAATATTCATTTTTAGAGCGTTAGTGAATTAAAAAAAGCAGTATAAAAACCGGAATGTCCAACTGATAAGGCTGAAAATTTTTTCACTTGTTATTTACAGTAAGATAAATACATTCACCAACTTTTATTAAAATAAAACCATTTAAACTGGGTGTTCGGATGTACAGTATATTCAGATAAGAGATAGACCGGACATAAACAAGAACACGTGATCATCAAACGCTGTAACATTCGGCAGGGACGTATTAAGAGTCACGCAGTACATATCTTAGATAGTAGATGCTGCTTTGCGTAACTTTGTAGTAAATTAGCACAATTCGATGTGTATACGATTGGTGATGGATATAGGATCATGTGGGGGTGGGGTAAGAAATATATAATGATGTAAATATACATAAGGGTTTCAAAATTTTCGCTTCGATTTCCACCTTCGGATGCCGTCTGATGTTTGGTGAAATACAGTCGAATATAATCTCAAAATGACGTTTAAATTAGCCTAAATTAAAAATAATCGTATATCTCTTAAAATTGCTTTTAGAATATTGATTAGTATATTTTTTGATTTCTAGGTAAATATGTAACCAAATTAAAACGTTCAAAACGTAAAAAAATGTGCATGGTTGAACATTGTCAGAAAGTAGATTCTTGAATAGGTTTTGCCAAAATGGGTTCAAAAATGTCAATAATTAATTAAAAAATACAGTAGCTTTATAATTACTTATAACTTACCGAATTTGATGAACGACATCTTTTATTGGAAAGATGAGCTTGATGAGCTTTCATCATCGCTACTGCCTGAAGCACCAACGTCAATAATGAATGGCTCGACTTGTTCCTCTAAAATATTGTCCAGTTCCCACATTCTCTTTTCAACTTTGTCTTTCACGTGCTTAATACAGTTTTCCCATTTTTGCGCTGTTATTAATTCTAGTGCTTCTTTGAAAAGTCCTTTGGGGTCACAAAATTTAAAAGTTGTATTGTGCTTAGCTATATAAATTTTTACCTCTGCCCATATGAGCTCAATGGGATTGAGCTCGCAATGGTATGGAGGTAAACGGAGCACAGTTTTATTTTGACTTGCTGCCATTTCGTCAATGGCGTATTTTTGATATTCCGCCTTATGATCCTTGACAATTCTTAATAATTGTACTTTCAGCATTGCTTCTTCAAAGTTGATATTTTTCGAGCGGAGCCAATTTTGAACATCAACTTTCCTTGAAGCCGTTGTTGGGACCTTCTCCATTCTTCGAGAATGATAAGGCGCATTATCAAACACAATTACTGCGTTTTCCTCTAAGTTCGGTAAAATTTTTGAAAACCACTGTTCAAACGATTCGCCATTCATTTCCTCGTGGTAATCTCCAGTTTTCTTAGACTCAAAGCACCACAGACCGTCAACAACAAATCCATTCTCACTGCCAATATGGCAGATAATGAGCCTTTTCCCTTTACCTGGAAATCGAAGTACTAACTGGTGTAGATTTATTTCAATAAGCGAACCTTTTTCAAATGTTTTCATCACATTCAGCGAAAAAACATTGAGACATGAGTATCAGATTGCTATAATTGGGATTATTTAGTCATATTGAACGAAAGAATATTGAACGTCGTATGATTACTCAGCGCTTCACAATTTAATTTAAAGTTATAAACCTTTAAAAAATGAATGATCAGGAACCTGAAATACGCGCAAATATTAATATTAACAAATTATAACTTTATAAAGCTTAAAGTATGAATTAAAATGATTAGAAATATTAGGAACGGTACACAATATAAAACTTAGTAACTTTTTTTAAGTTTATAATAATGGACATATTTTAAGATTATATTAAAAAATTATTGAAATATCGAAAACACATAAAAACATGGCTTAAAAAAGTTCTAACAAATGAAAATGACAATAAAACATCCACGCATTTTATCGAAAGTTATAAAAGTTTTGTTACTTGTAAGAAAGGCCCTCCTGGATCAAGTTACAGAATCATCAACCCATACTTTACTTGTAGTGTGTCCTGCGTTTACCCACGTTTCATCAAGGTAATAAATCTTCCTGTTTTGATTTCTATATTTCCCAATTTTTGTTAAATAATCCCTCCTCCATAGCACAATTTCTTCTCTATCCAGTAGTAAACTATTACGACCCCGTTTTTTCCATTTGAAATTTAAATGCTTCAGTAACGCATGGAAAGTTGATCGTTTGAAATTTGGCAACGTTGTATCTCCATTTACCTCCTGCAGTACTTTATCTATAGTAGGTATTTCATTCCTAAAGAAGAATTCATGCACTTTCCTCCTAATCGCATGCTTATCAGCTTCATCCAATGATTTAACAATACTTTTGCGATGTTTACTGGTCATTGGCTCAGAAAAGGTGTGATTTTTTTTGTATTGTCTTAACACATTAAACACTGATGCGCGACACACCCCAACTTTGTGAGAAACCTTCACAACAATTTCTTTGATGGTTGATGCCTTGTTCTCCTCGCGCTCGATCTTATATATATTCAAAATGACCTCTTTCATTTCTGCATTCAGGTGTCTTTTTTTAGAGCGTTTCCTAGGTGGACTACAGGAGTTTACAACTTCATCGGCAGTATCTGTACTACTGGGCATTTTGCGCAAGCAGTTGATAACAATAACAATCAATAACAAGGTATAACAATAACAACGACAAACTCAACAACTAAATAAGATAACAAACGAAAACGTCCAAAGAAATATCAAATTGCAATGATGCACACGACATACGTAACACGTCTGAACCTGAATGTGACTCTGCCTTGATACGACTGCTCTGCCGCTCGGCATAGGCATTTAATTGCGAATTGACCAATGAGGGATCCTGTTTTACGTCGAGACGGCGGCGTTAGCGTGAAAATCACCCGAACCTTTTGTTTACATCCGGTCTATCTCTTATCTGAATATACTGTATATGTCACTTAGTATAGATGTACGATGACTTGGTTAAGAAATCAGCTTCCGATACCGAACATTGATATCGTGAACATCACTTCGAAATGTAATCTTATTATAGAAATAAGGTGGAATTTTATATAGAATGATTTTATGAAATTAATTACCCTCCAGGGCTTTGTTTTTAGAGATACAACAAAAATTGTCAGACAAAAAAGTTTCAGATTATTTACGCCATCTCAGAAACTTGAAAAAAATTTCTCTTCGCCGTTTTAGTAATAACCCTTTTTTGCCGCAAGGATGGATACGTTCTACAGTACTCCGCATTCTTATTTGGCCACCCTGTACATTCAACTGCTTATAACTTAACAACTATAATAATCGAAATGCTATAGTATATCACTCTTAGAAGTGTTTGTCTGAATGTGCAATGCAACGTGAGATATTCCGATGTAAAAACTGACAGATTTTGACACGTGATAATTTTAGATGAAAAAATATTACGGTACCTGTGTATGCGAAGCCTTGCAAAGCTCAGACATGAAACTGCACAGTCCAGGCAAGGACAACCTCAAAGCGGCTGAATGAAACAGTTCATCCGACTTTTGAGACAACACGCAACAAACTTTTGCTGCGTAAACTCCCTTTAAGATGCCTTGACCTTGAGCATTATTCGCTCCACTTTTTTCGATTATCTCTGTGATGCTAGTGTCACTTGCGAAATTCTGGTCCGCGTTCGAATTATTGTGAATCGAACTGTATACGTCGATACTGGAAAAAATCAAATAACATTAGAGAAAACGCGTTATTAATATTTCAGATGTTGGTAGAAAAATTTGTTCGAATTTAGATGCGCATACCCTCTAGTTTTTTCCATTTGACTCAAAAAATGAATATTATTGCGATGGGCGAACGATTACTTTCGGTCAAACTTTGAATTTGAAAGTTAATAGGGAAACAATGTACATACCGTCTCCTTTGAATCCAGCGCAACAACTTTTTTATGGTTTTGTCCGTCATTAAGTATTTTTTATCAAATTTGTTCACAGCTTAAGCGCGCGCGAAGAAGTTTTTCCTTTTAGTTCAAGTTCGAATGTTCAATGCTCAATTACCTTAATCACAGGTGACATTAGGCTCAATTTTAAATAATGGAGTGCGCGTTGCAGCCAAGCCAAGCCGAAAAACGCAGGATCACTATTTCATTTATATACTAAGTGACATATAAATCCGAACACCCAGTATAAATGGTTTTATTTTAATAAAAGTTGGTGAATCTTACTGTAAATAACAAGTGAAAAAATGTTCAGCCTTATCAGTTGGACATTCCGGTTTTTTTAATTCACTAACGCTCTAAAAATGAATATTTCAGCCGCAGTAAAGAATCAACGTTGGCGGATTTTGGTTCTTGACATCCTTTACGATCGGTTACGATGCCCAAAGTACGGAGACCTGTACGATTTCGTCAACTTAGTGAGTTTGATAGGGGCCGTATAGTGGGACTTCGGGAAGCTGGACTTTCTTTTCGGGCAATTGCAGTTACAGTGCAAAGAAGTGTAGACACTGTGCTTAGGTGTTGTCAGGCATGGCTTCGAGAAGGCCGTACGCAAAGAGCAAGGGGCACCGGACGACGTCGTAGAACAACAGACCGTGAAGATCGCCGCCTAAGATTATTGGCCTTAAGGGACCGTTTCTCCACTACCAGGTCCATTGCAAATGAATGGTTTGCAGAACACGGAAGACCTATTGGCATGCGAAGTGTTTACCGACGGATGAGAAGTTTTGGCTTGTTTTCATACCGGCCACACTGGGTCCTCCCTTTAACTCGAGAACACCGACGTAATCGCCTTGAGTGGTGCAGACAACGGTCACTCTGGGATCAGGAATGGAACAGTATTGTCTTTAGTGACGAGTCTCGATTTTGTTTAGGCATGCACGATGGTCGTGCCAGGGTTTGAAGGCGACGTGGTGAAAGGAGGAATCCACAGTTTTTTGATGAAAGACATGTTCATCACACTGTTGGAGTTATGGTTTGGGGTGCTATAGCTTATGGTTCCAGGTCACCTTTAATCTCCATCAGAGGTAACGTGAACGCGCAGCGTTATATCCACGAACTTCTAGAACCCCATCCTTTACCCTGTGGCAGATCCAACTTTCCAACAAGATAATGCCCGACCACATGTTGCAAGAGTCACAATAGACTTCTTTCAACATAATGATGTCACATTGTTACCATGGCCACCAAGATCTCCCGACTTATCCCCAATTGAGCACGTGTGGGATATGATGGGTAGGAGATTGCTCAATTTGCAACGCCCTCTTCAGACTCTAGAAGCACTTCGAGAGGAGTTGGTGGTTGCCTGGAATGAGATACCACAGGAGGACATTGACCACCTCACTCCACTCTCGGAATGTCCGGGTGGAGGGTGGGCTCGAGGGAACAACACACAAGATAAAATTTGTTTTTCCAACATCTACGGGATCAACAGCAACATTGATGCTGTTCATCACTACCTGCAATCCAATCGTTCCGCCGTGCTTTTCTTGGCGGAGACAAAAATCTCAGAGGCTGCACCGATTAACCACCTCAACTTCCCAAACTACGAGGTTCACTCCAATCTGAGAAAGAACGGGGGAGTTGTGGCTTTTGTCCGCAGCAGTCTTTCCTGCTCCAGGGATCTTTCTTTGGAATCAGACCGGAAGGACATTCTGTGGCTTCGCCTCAACTCTAAAACATCACCCAAATTTATTTGCTGCCTTTATTGCTCTCCCTCGAACCATAACTGGGATGACCTACTCGAATACCTCGCCGTCCAGATCGACTTCCTGAACATCAATCACCCCGCTTCAGAGGTAGTTCTTCTCGGTGATTTCAATGCCCATAATGAGCTTCGGTTGGGCTCAAATAAGACCGATGCAGCAGGTCGTGCAGTCGAAGCGTTCGCTCTTACTCAAGGGCTGACCCAGCTGGTGACGAGCCCTACTTTTTTCCCCCGCGTCTCGTCACACGCCAGTAGCCTGCTGGATCTCTTTCTGTCCACGCATCCTGCCCCTTACAGCACTGCCGTCGTGTCCCCCCTGGGTAACTTAGATCACGGTGTTGTGGAGGTTAGGTTTCGGTTAGAAGCCGCTGTGGCCGCAGAAACTCGCACAGGCCGCAAAACTTGGCATTACGGACATGCCGACTGGGAGGGGCTCAGAGACTTCTTCTCTAGCTTTCCTTGGAGAGATGTCTGTTTCACTGACGCGGATGCGTCGACTGTCTGTTCTTCAATAACCGAAATTATCCACGTCGGAATGGAGGAATACATCCCTCACACAGTGAAAGCTCCTAAACCAGGGTCCAACGGCTGGTTCAACAAATCGTGTGACACTGCTCGCCAGCAGAAGATCAAGGCCCACAGAACCTACTTACAAAACCCCTCTGTAGAGAACAGACAAGCCGACGTCGAGTCCAGAAACAAATATAACGAAGCGGTTCGCAATGCCAAAACCCAGCATGATATAAAAGTTAGGCACAGGGTAATGTCGCAGCGCAATGGCAGTCGGTCTTTCTGGACGCTGGCCAAGCAGATTGAAAAGAACTTCTCACACAGTAGCCTTCCACCACTTACGTGTCAGGATGGAACTATTGTATTCGACTCAAAGGCCAAGGCGGAAGTGCTAGCCAACATCTTTGCTGCCAACTCCACCATGGACGTCCCCACCAACGCCCAAGTGCCGTCAATTCAAAGGGTTCCCCACACTATGCGGGAGGTAACATTCAGGCATAAGACCGTAAGACGAGTGCTCTTGTCGCTCGACATCAACAAAGCTTCTGGTCCGGACTTGATTCCTGCCATTGTACTGAAGAGATGTGCAGCTGAGCTTGCTCCAGTTCTTTCGCGTCTCTTCCAGATATCTTATGAATCCGGCACCTTCCCAGAAAACTGGAAATTTGCTCGTGTACAGCCCATCCCAAAAAAAGGATCTAAAACCGACCCTTACAACTACAGGCCTATAGCTCTGCTTTCTGTTATAAGTAAAGTGATGGAGAGGTGCATATATCGCGAGCTTCTGGACTACCTCGAACGTCACAGCTTGATTAGCGACAGGCAGTACGGTTTCCGGCACCAACGATCCACAGGGGACCTCCTAGCTTACGTCACGCAACTGTGGAGTAAACTCATCCAGTCTCATGGTGAGGCTCATGTCGTTGCTCTTGACATCACGAAAGCGTTCGATCAGCTGTGGCACGCTGCCCTCTTGAGCAAACTTCCATCCTACGGCCTCCCAGAAAAGCTTTGCAGATGGGTGGCTGACTTTATCTCTGGCCGCAAGATATCCGTCGTAATTGACGGATTCTCCTCTTCATCCCACAACGTCAACGCGGGTGTTCCCCAGGGATCGGTCTTGGCTCCAGCACTGTTTCTCTTACATATCAACGACCTCCTTTCCTGCACGATCAACCGAATCCACAGCTTCGCTGATGACAGCACTCTACATGCAGGAATTCAGAGTGACAAGCCGATCTCTGCCGCTGAGCTGGAAAAAAGAAGACTAGCGACGACTTCTTCTCTGACAAGAGACCTGGAGGCTATCACTGCTTGGGGGCGCAACAATCTTGCACAGTTCAATGCTTCCAAAACACAGTACTGTACTTTGACGAACAAAAAGCGTCCTAGCTCTCATACAGTTTCGATGGACGGTCGAGTTCTACCAAAGAGCCATTCATTTCGGTTGGTTGGAGTCCAGATCACCGAGGACCTGATCTGGCACGAACACATCTCTTCAATAGCTGCAGCTGCTGGGAAAAAGCTAGGCTATTTGTTTAGGGCTAAGAAGTACTTTTCTCCGCATGACCTTCTCACTCTATACAAGGCCCAGATAAGGCCTAGCCTCGAGTATTGCTCACACATTTGGGGTGCTGCCGCCCCGACTACATTGTCCATGCTCGATGCTGTCCAGAGGAGGGCGGTCCGACTGATCGATGACTCTTCTCTAACAGACAGTCTCGGGACTCTTTCGCACCGGCGGGCCGTCGGCGATCTAGCTCTTTTCTATCGCTACACCAACGGGCTTTGCTCCTCAGAGCTCTCTTCCATGATGCCGCCGCGCGATGTGCCTGCCAGACAGACCCGCCTGACTTCGGCGTCCCATCCTAACCGTGTCAAACTTTGTACATCCAGAACTGGCCGATACGACCGCTCCTTTATCCCGAGGGTGTCTAGATTGTGGAACAAACTACGGGAGGAAGCTTTTCCCAGTTCTACTAACCTTAGGCAGTTCAAAAATCGTATTAACAAAATTTCTTTGGGATCATCATAGCAGCCGCGGTGTTCCGGCATTTAGGCTTCTGCCTGCGCGGCTGTTTCGATATATAAAAAAAACAACCTGATCAGAAGCATGCCTAGGCGCGTTGGAGAATGCGTAGCACATCAGGGTGCATCCACACATTATTAAAGGTCAAAGGGCTTTAAAGCAGTGCAATCATTTTGAAATTTTTATCATTTACTTATTATGCTTCATTAAGTACTTATACAAAATTTTATTAAAATAAAATCATTTAAACTGGGTGTTCGGATTTATATGTCACTTAGTATATATACCTACAAAAACTCAGTAATAATGTCGTATAGAAAGATTTTATAATGCGCCCCTCCAAACTGCATTTTTTTTGAAGTGGCCCTTGGGCCACATTAAGTTGGACAGCCCTGTTCTAGAGGAATCAATCGAAAAGGCAAAGTCAAAGGTCCTAATATATACCTACCAGGTCTCTTCATCGTTAGCAATATTGAAACTAATATGCAGTTTTTCTTGAGAATCAGATCTCGTCGTACTCGTGACAATATTGTTCTGCGTATTCTGAGCTACCATCAGAAGTTGAGTAGAACCTGATTTGCTGAAAAGGCAATGCTCTAAAGTTGCTACTGACACACAGGCGCTGAAAACGTGCGGCCAGCACGCTGAACAGTGACAACCTAACTCCAAACCTGCAAATTTTAAAAATAGTTTACCACGCCTTTTTTATAAACAAGAGGAAGTGGTAGTGTGATTCCTCTTTCCCTTTTTTAATTAGTTGATTAATACATGAAACGCTATAAATGGAGTCTAAGGGTCAGCCAATGCAAAACAGTTGCCTATACTATAACTATCTAAAACTGTAATGACTCATCGATGTTCACGTGAACATCACTTAACTACCAGTAGTCGGCTGTTCATAGGCGGGGTATGAATGTTTAACATGGGTGAACTAGATTTGTCACATGCTCAATAAAGAGTGGTTTGAAACATATTGTAAGTCAAAAATTTGGGAATTACCTTTATTCATCGTCGCTTCCACTTACATCTGACAGTAATAAACTGTCGCTATCGCTTTCCTCGTTGAAATTGACTATAACTGGCTCTATGATGGTGTCGATGTGGTGGTCAAGCTGCCACATTTTTGTTTCTTCCTTCACAACATGACGGATAGCATTCTGCCAAGCTTCGGGCGTTACTAGCTGTATGGAAGTCTCAAGTAAAACCTTAACGTCTGGTAATTTGAAGGTTGTGTTATGGCGCGCAATATAACCCTTCACTTGAGCCCAGATGAGCTCTATTGGGTTCAGTTCACAGTGGTAGGGCGGTAACCGCAGCACAGTGACACCACATTGACGGGCCATCTCATCAGTCACGTATCTAATGTTCGCAGGTTTGTGCTGTTTAATTTTTTCATACAATTTCGCTTTCACACATGAATCGTCAAACGGGATTCCTTTTTCGCGCAACCATTGCTGCATGTCACTTTTTCGAGATCCCATAGTCGGTACACGTTCGGCTCGACGACTATGGTAGGAAGCATTATCCATGACGATCACAGAGTTGGGCTCAACTCGCTGAAGCACCCCTTGAAACCAGCTCTCGAAGCAGCTGGCATTCATTTCGTCATGGTAATCACCTCCTTTCTTAGAGACGAAAATCAAGTCGCACTCTTCTAAAAAGCCACTATCGCTACCAATATGAGTTACGATCAATCTTTGACCTTTCCCTGATGGTCCACGAAGACCTGTTGACAAACCTTCAATGCTTGCTTGTCGGTTACTCACTACGTTTTTGTCTATTCAGGTTTTTTAACTGTGTGACCTGCATTTACCCATATCTCGTCCAAATAATAGATTTTTCTGCTTTGTCGCCTATATTCAATCATTTCGCGTAAGTATTTTCGACGCCAGGCGACTATTTCAGGTCTCTCTATCAATACTGACTTCCGATTACGCGTTTCGTAACGAAAATTAATTTCGTGCAGGGATTTCCTCATTACCTCGACGCTCATTTGGGGTATAATTTCATTTTCCTTGATCGCTGCATGTACAGCCTTGAGGGTTGGTATCTCATTCCTAAAGAAGAATGAATGTACGGTTTGCCTTAACGCCATTTTGCTATCGTCATCCAATTTAACGGCCTTTCGTCCCTTCAAATTAAACTTTGGATCAGTAGTAGCTCCAGTTTTCTTCTTTTCATGCACCACCCTGCGAATGGTCCACTCTGGAACGCCTGTCATACTTTCACAAGGCGCGAGTGCATCTCCCTGCGACATAGTTCTGTTCAGATAATTGAACACGTTGAGCACGATTTCTTTCGCGTCCCTCTTCAGTGCTTTACGAAGCCGTCTACTTGTACCCTGGCTATCAGTACTTCCACTCGTGCCATTTGTACTCTCCATGGTTAAGTATAACCAAAACAGTAACCACACAAACCGCAACAATAACAATCACACAACAATTCTTATAAAAACACACAATATGCGATCGCTCAACGAAACACGTTCCAATGCGTTGCCGACGCCTATGAGTCTGCAGGTCGAGGCGCGTCTTTGATTTCATTGGTTCTACCGGCGGAGAACAATCAGCCATTATTTCCATCTCTGTCTGTGCTGTTGACCACCGCAAAGCCACAGAAACGACATATGTCGTACGCTATACGGCTGTACTGGAAGGAAGCCGGGATCGATCTCTGATCACGTGTTGATCACGCGTATGAGTCATTACAATTTTAAATAGTTGTAGAATAGTGGCGTGCAAATTTAGGCTCTCGCTCAATAAAGCGGAGAGTAGGGGGATTAAGAGCGCCAGTGGGTTGAGACAGATTAAGCCACAAATCTCCGACATGTTAGTCGGAACTTGTTTTGCTTGACCACAAAGGAAAAGAATCTAACAGTAATGACGATACCTAATTAATTTTACACAGAGAGCTATATAAAACAATATAATATTAAAAAAGAATCACAATATATTATATCAATAAACAGCGCATATATGCGAATATTTAAGGGTGTAAATCTACATGAAAAATTAATGTTAGTTTGCCTTATAAACAATGGTAGAAAAATGTTTCCTTACAAAAACTCGGGGTGCTGAAGTTTTAGGAAAAAAAAATGGAAATTAATTAATATTTTCAGAACCGCTTCAGATATTTCACTGATATTCAATACGTAGTGAAAGTTAATAAAGTTGCATATGTTTCAATGCAAAAATAATTTTTAGCTTTAACGGTGACGTGCGTACGGGTATTGACTTCGATATTAAGAATGGCCACCAAGGTCCCCAGACCTCAACAGTTTTTCTGTTTGTGGGGCTATCTTAAGACACTAGAAATGTATAGAAACACTAACTAGTTATCATAAATTACAACTCAATACTTAACTAAACTATACTATCAAATCATGTGGAGTGGCCCATTCTGCTCCAAAAGATGCAACTTTCTTCGAATGTTTCTCATGATCTTATGTATATTGACGTATGGAAGGCGTTTGATCAAATTGACTTTTACCTACTTCTGACAAAACTCTAGCGTTATTTTAAATCTACTGAAATCATATCTGATTGGGAGAAAATTGTTTGTAGAATATGGCAGCGTTAGATCTATTCAATATACGCCTACGTTGGGAGTTCCTCAAGGATCTAACCTTGGTCCCTTGCTTTTTTTACTATACTTTAAAGACTTGTCACAAGAAGTAAGTACTATGCACATCTTTTTCGCTGACGATCTAAAATGTTGTCGACCATAAAGTTAGAAGATGATTGTTTATCACTTCAGGAAAATTTAAACGCAGCTTATTTGTGGTATAGTAAGAATGGCCTGACTCTTTATGTCTCTTAATGTCAAATTTCAATATTTACTAGAAAACTAAAGAAAACTAAGTGCTACCTGCTCCAATAATTATCACAAATGTCCAGAGACTTGAAAGAGTTGAAAGCTTCAAAGACCTTGGCGTAGTCTTTGATAGTAAAATGTGCTTCAAAGATCGTATTTCTAGTATAGTAGCGTCAGCTTCTAGGAGTCTGGGATACCTACAGTATATTCAGATAAGAGATAGACCGGATGTAAACAAAAGGTTCGGGTGATTTTCACGCTAACGCCGCCGTTTCGACGTAAAACAGGAGCCCTCATTGGTCAATTCGCAATTAAATGCCTATGCCGAGCGGCAGAGCAGTCGTATCAAGGCAGAGTCACATTCAGGTTCAGACGTATTACGTATGTCGTGTGCATCATTGCAATTTGATATTTCTTTGGACGTTTTCATTTGTTATCTTATTAAGTTGTTGAGTTTGTCGTTGTTATTGTTATACCTTGTTATTGATTGTTATTGTTATCAACTGCTAGCGCAAAATGCCCAGTAGTACAGATACTGCCGATGAAGTTGTAAACTCCTGTAGTCCACCTAGGAAACGCTCTAAAAAAAAAAAGACACCTGAGTGCAGAAATGAAAGAGGTCATTTTGAATATATATAAGATCGAGCGCGAGGAGAACGAGGCATCAACCATCCAAGAAATTGTTGTGAAGGTTTCTCACAAAGTTGGGGTGTGTCGCGCATCAGTGTTTAATGTGTTAAGACAATACAAAAAAAAACACACCTTTTCTGAGCCAATGACCAGTAAACATCGCAAAAGTATTGTTAAATCATTGGATGAAGCTGATAAGCATGCGATTAGGAGGAAAGTGCATGAATTCTTCTTTAGGAATGAAATACCTACCATAGATAAAGTACTGCAGGAGGTAAATGGAGATACAACGTTGCCAAATTTCAAACGATCAACTTTCCATGCGTTACTGAAGCATTTAAATTTCAAATGGAAAAAACGTGGCCGTAATAGTTTACTACTGGATAGAGAAGAAATTGTGCTATGGAGGAGGGATTATTTAACAAAAATTGGGAAATATAGAAATCAAAACAGGAAGATTTATTACCTTGATGAAACGTGGGAAAACGCAGGACACACTACAAGTAAAATATGGGTTGATGATTCTGTAACTTCATCCAGGAGGGCCTTTCTAGATGGACTGTCCACCGGATAAAAAAATCCAGCAGGTAAATACGAGTAATAGACAACAATCGGATGTTTTTCAAACCTTGGGAACAAGGTTCTAAACATTAATTCCAGGGGGCAGATAAAACATATTACAAGTAACAAAACTTTTATAACTTTCGATAAAATGCGTGGATGTTTTATTGTCATTTTCATTTGTTAGAACTTTTTTAAGCCATGTTTTTATGTGTTTTCGATATTTCAATAATTTTTTAATATAATCTTAAAATATGTCGAATATTATAAACTTAAAAAAAGTTACTAAGTTTTATATTGTGTACCATTCCTAATATTTCTAATCATTTTAATCCATACTTTAAGCTTTATAAAGTTATAATTTGTTAATATTAATATTTGCGCGTATTTCAGGTTCCTGATCATTCATTTTTTAAAGGTTTATAACTTTAAATTAAATTGTGAAGCGCTGAGTAATCATACGACGTTCAATATTCTTTCTTTGAATATGACTAAATAATCCCAATTATAGCTATCTGATACTCATGTCTCAATGTTTTTTCGCTGAATGTGATGAAAACATTTGAAAAAGGTTCGCTTATTGAAATAAATCTACACCAGTTAGTACTTCGATTTCCAGGTAAAGGGAAAAGGCTCATTATCTGCCATATTGGCAGTGAGGATGGAT